TCTTTGATACCTACTTTTCCATTTATGTCAAGTGCCTTTATATGTTATTCAGCTACCTTTCACTTCATTTATTCGTGTTTTCTGTACTATATATATTTTTATTTATTTGATTGTATCTTTTGTCAACCAAGACGAAAAGTTTGCTGAATAATTAAAATTACCATATTCATAGAATTAAATGTTAACGTTGGTAAAAAACTGGATGATAGAACTTGGAACAAACTTTTCATATACCTTTCAGCTTTATGAAAAAAGTGGACTTTATAATATATCACAGAAGTATATCATATAATGATCAGAACTTCCTTTCAATTCAATCTGTATCACTAAAAATTCAATTGAAGGTATCACTCTGACAGGCCATTTTCTCTAGGTTTTCAACTTCAGTCTATCTGTCAAAAACAACAACAAAAATTAATTGGCACTCCGGGGCGACTTCATTGATTCCAGTGGCGCATTTACTTTTTCAGCTGCAGGAAAACTCGGAAAAACCTGCAGCACCACATCATCTGAAGATCTTGATCTGCCGATGTCCTCTCTTTCATAAAACAAAATGTAAAGTGTCTCCAGAGGCTCCAATAAATTCAATACCTCGCCAGTGATTGTTGAGTAGAAAATAAACTTTTATTTGTGTCAAAAGGCCACAGATAGTTCAAATATTTTGTCAAAAGTTTTAGCCCTTGGCACTCTTCATGAAGAGATCCAATAAATGTCGGTATTTCATTCACAGAGTGGTAAGAACACACTAAATGCATATTAGTGTTTCTTATAGGGACAGTCCGAGAACAATGAAAAATAGTAGCTCAGTTGAACCTTTGGAATTTATACCAGGGTCTATTTTAAATAACCAGTTTCAACCAATTTCAACAGTCCTAGAATCGCAATCGCGCATCCGATGTAAATGACTATTAGTATTTTAGGGATTAGCGCATATGTACGGTAATAATTGTTTCTCGTTCTCCAAACTGCAATTTTTATATTTATAAATATTTCTTACTTTCATTCACCAGTTTATGAAACTGAATTCATTCCTGTACTCAAAACTGGAAATATGATTGCACTATGGATTTCGTTCAAAATCAACCTAAATTTATCATGATGAGCTTCAATATCTACCTACTATCTCTTCAAGTTTATGAGAGATCGTCACCGAATTGTGTTCAATAGTATAGAAAAAATACCAACTGAGAGGCGATAAATAACTACTCAATGCGGACATGGAAGTGAATGTGGAATCGAAATGAAATTTTGGAAAATACTCCCATATTCAGAATTTGAGAATTTGTTCCATACATATGAACTCGCCTAAGGAAGCTATTCTATAGTAGAACAAGTTGCGGATTTGTGAACTGTTTAGTGAAATTGTGATTGCAATGAAATCGTGATTGATGAAAATTAATAACACCTAGTTTACTGTTTCGCAAAACTCCTTGATGACTTTACGCCCAGTTCACCTCCGCCCGAATTAACCGATCCAATTTTATAGAAAGTAATTTCAGATGAATATTTCCCAACTTTTTATTGCTTCTTAACCCTCAGTTGTTTATTTTATTCCTTTTGGGAAACGCAACATTAGACAAAGAAAACAGTTGTTTTCCTGTTGTTAAAATTGAATATTATAATTGTTCCTTAATGATTTTCTTGAAATAATCAAAGTTAATTTCCTGAATCCAATTATGAAACAACGGATTTCTCTTAATGAGTCTCGTAATAGTTATTGATGAATAAAAATAACCAGTTATCAAGCAACACGGGATGATTTGGCGGATTATGTTCTTTATATTTGCTGATGAACATTTTTACATAATGCAGGAATCACGTATAACCACTGGTCGTGGCAATTTGTTTAGTTGTAAAACAATAACAATACGTGTCATTCATCTGAAAGGATAACATTTGTGGTAACATGACATATGAACGTCCCCACTAAAGAAAAAAATATTCATTTTCGATCACAAGATATATCAAAGTTTTACAGAAACTTTCATTTTCACAAACTTTTATTTTTATTCAGTTTAGTGATCCAATAATTATTCTGAAAAAGGGGTTGGTTGGGTAACAGGATCAATTTTTTTTTATAAAAAATTTGTATTCTTGCCGACGTTTCGAATTCAATTACATTCTTCTTCAGGGCTC